TCAATAACAGGTTTCCAAACACGTAGAGCTGCTGCCCTAGCCCCAATGGGGATCCGGAGATAAGAGAAAGGGAACTCCCCAATGAGGCACCCTAAAGCCGCAGCACATTCCTCCAAGCAGGTCTGCTGAATTTCTCCCACCCCAATCATCACACTCTTACTTAGGTTGATTTTTAACCCCGAAAGCAGTTGGAAGTTTTTGGGGATTCTTCTCAAGTTGTAAGCTTGTTCTACAGATGCATCCATGAAGATTAAGGTGTCATCAGCATATTGAAGATGAGAAATATAACCTGGCCAACTAGAGAGAATTGATTCAATCTTCTCCAGATCAAACCAAGGGTTTTTCTCTCCCAACTCTTCTTTTTCTTCTCTCTCAATCTTCCTTCTATTCTTTTTCTTTCTCATTCTAGGACTGAAACCAGTGCAGATCAAATCAATAACAGTTTCCCAAGCAGCAGAGCAATCCTTGAGGCCTTCAAGCTCGAGAAGTGGAAAACACTCAGCTTTTAGGGTAGGCTTTCAAGAAAGGAACCTTGACTCAAATTTTAATAACTCAATGTTGGGTCAACCAGAGGCAGGCAGACCATTAAAGAAAATTAGTGGCCACTTTAAAGGCTCACATGACATGATCACACCACTTGTATTTCCAACTTAATTGTGATGATAGATTGAGATCATGGTCTGTCTTTGTCCTCCTTTTGAAAAGGCCCGATATGTAAGAAATTGGTTGAGAATGGAATGTCACAAAAGTATAAAGATTCTCCATCAAAGGTAAAGATGGATTTGTCTGGTGTACATCTGTTAGTTACAAGGATAAAGAATAGAACAAAGAAAGATTTGGGAAAAGCAGCAGTGCATTAGATGAGAGAAAGGTGTTTTGATTGTAGAGAGATTTTGGGCGGGTGGGTGGAAGTACGATAGATGAGCATTTATGCAGAACAAAAGAAGAAAGAAGCGGAGGAAAGAGTGGCAGTGGGTTGCAGTGGCGGAAAGGTGGAAGAAGAAAGAAGAGGGGGAGAGAGACGAGTTCGAGAAGAAAGAAAGGGAAGAGGTTTGGGGCAGGAAAAGAAAACTTAAATTTTTTTGGAGTCCAGACTACCGTTAAGTCTAGATTCTGGACTCTTTTTTTTTTATCAGCAAGAAAATTTTTTAATTAATAGCAGAGAAAAGTTACAATCAGTTACAATAGTTATAGGTTGCAGAAAAGCATTAATCTAATCTACAACCACATAGAATCAGCTACAATTCTGCCCAGTACAAGGTAGATCTATTTGCCCCCTTGTTTTGCTAGGGTATCCGCCATCCCATTTGCGTTCCGTTTGACCCTACCAAACTAAGGGTTGATCATCCTTGCAAGTATATCAATTTCTCTGAAGATAAATTTGAGCTTCCAAGGTACTGATGTGATGTTTTTAGCCCAAGAAATGACCAGTAGTGAGCCTCCTTCTATTTCTAAGTCAGTTGTTCTTATCTGCTCAGCCATCTTTAGACTTGAAGTAGGGCTAGAGATTCAGCCTGTATTGAGTCACCAATACCTATTGGTCCTAAGAAGAGTGCCACCACCACACCCAGATGATTTCTAATCACACCCCTATGCCTACCCTTCCTGGGTTACCAAAACAACTCCCATCAAAGTTTAGTTCTAGTTTGTTCAGTGCCGGTGGCTTCCATTCCACTCTCACAGTTACTTTGGGTGCATTTGTTTGTGCTACTTCAGCCCAACTTCTTAGAATCTCATTCGTGGAGAAATTTTTGAATAGCTCCATGGTCTTCACCCAATGTGCAGTTCTGATTTTTATGGCTTCAATAACTTCCTCCTTTGATTTACTTTTTTCAAAGAAAATTCTTAGGTTTCTTTCCTCCCATAGTCCATACTGTATCTGCTCTTACTGCCTTCCATAAGCACTTTCCTCTTTTCTTCAATTGTCTCGGGAAGGAGGGGCTGAAAAGACTTACCACCACATCCTATGGGGGAGCCCATCTGCATCCAAAAAGAGAACAAACAACATTCCAAATATGAAATACCAGAAACAAAAGAGCAGAATAAAAGTAAGTGGGGTAGGGTTTCACCAAAATCCATACAAAGGACACACACATGAGAAGAGAGGCATTTGTTTGGCCTCCTTTTCTATAGCACATCACAAGTGTTAAACTTCCCTAGGCACACTTCCCAACAGAAAGCTTGTACTTTTGGAGGGATCGGTTTACACCAGATTTCTCTCACGAGGAAGTTCACCCCCATGGGATCAGATGAGTGAGCAAACCAAAGAAAGATGCACAAGAAAATAAACCATCAGGAGTTGGGGATCAAACTCTACTATCAACTATAGATTGGTCTAAGTAGACCCTTAAAGTGTTGAGATCAAAAGCACTAGAGACTCGCATTCATTTTCCCTCAACCCTCTTCTAAATCCAAAATCCCAAGAGATACCCAAATCTGAAAACATACCAAACCTAGCAACAGGTTTGCTTTTAAGGTTTGATAAGGAGTAGAGGTCCGGGAATTTAACCATAAGAGGCATATCCCCAACCCAAAGGTCTTCCCAAAATAAAACTTTATTGCCACAACCAACATCAAATCTGATAAATTGAAGAAAGGTTGGTAGTACCTCAAAGATTGCCTTCTAGGGAGAATTTGGAGCTGCATTGGAAACTAGTTTTGCATCACAACCGTTATCTGCTTCACCATGAATGCTTTTAATGACCCTGTGCCACAACCTATTGGACAGGGTACAGAAAATCCTCTGTACCTCGGGTCCAGAGGATGCAAGTTCCTTCATATGTAGTTCCATCAAGCAACTTAACACACCAAGGTAGAAGACCATTGAAGGAAAGTAAGCACACTAGTCCTAGTCATATGATCTGAAGCTTCAAAAACTACTAGTTAATGACCAACCTGTATCGAGTATGGGGCAACTATTCCCATGTATTTTGTTTGGGAGTCATTATTTACATGGTAAATTTAAGTTAGGCTTTTATTTGATTTAAGAGATTAAACTAGGTTTTATTTGTCAAGAACAACTCACTTTATCTAGAAGAATGGGATTCACATCAATGTAAGGTATTGAAAACCTTTGTATTGGGTATTTTATTTGAGTTTAGAAACTGTCTATTTATAAAATTTAATTAGATGGCCACATGTGTTTCAGTCATTGCTAATATGAATCCTCACCATTTGAAGTGAATATTTTTCTGATAGAGAAAATAACAACCCTCACAGTGAATACTTTTTTAAGAGTGGAGGCAACCACCCTTCCATGTGTATATGAGGATGCTCTTAGAGTTTTTGGGAAATAAAGTACTGTATTAAAATGTAAATCAACTCATGTACAACAAGAAACTGTACACAGAGACCATATAAAAGCTGCCCCTGCAGCACTATACCCGCAAACCCTGTTTTACAAAATGATTACCATGTACAAAAAAGTAATTCAAGCCTATATTTCTAAAAAGTTTGATTATAGCTAGCCATGAATACATTTTTTGATCAGCAAAAAATTTAAGGATTATATTAATTGATGAAACTAGTTAATACAAAGAAATGGTCTAGCCCATAAGGACCAAATCCAAACCCCAGAAAAGCTACAAGAGTTACAATAGTGCCCAAAACAACTGTTGCCTATATACCCCTTGTTTTGCTAGAGTATCGGCTATCCCATTTGCAATCCTTCTTACCCAATTGAAAGTAACGTTCAGCTCCTATGTGATGCCCTCTATTTCCCTAAACTCATGCCTAAAGAACCATTGCACAAGCTGTTTACTCCTGACCCAAGAAATGATCAGTTTTGAGTCTCCCACTACTTCCAAGTGCTGAAAGCTTGATTAGCAAGAAGCTTTGCAGCAGCACTACCAGTTCAGCCTTTAGTGAATCTCACAATTCAGAGGGACCTGGGTTGCCTTGACTGCTCCTGTCGAAATTCAGCTTCAAAAAACCTTCAGAAGGGTGTGCCCAGCCTGCAGCGACCTTATATGGTATGTACGTAGCACGGTAGCAACCTCTGACTTGGGCCAGCATTTGCTGCCAACCTATAGCTACCCCCAATTACATTTGTATTAGCCCTTCTCCCGGATCTCTAACCCCCTAACAAAACTGATTTCTAATCACTCCCTACCTGACCAGAGCATCTGAAAAGCTATTTGCCAATCTCTCTGTACATTTGAATGAAACTCTTAGGTCCCTAACCAGGCTTCTTACCTCTCTCAATATGTGTCTGTATTGCCATGTACCTAGCTTGTTATTTGTAATACAGTCAATCATGACTCTTAACTCTTAAGTCAGAGGGGAGGTCGGGTTTTAGGGTCTCTTTTTCCAGTTATCTTGGGTGGTTTCTTATCACCTCCCTTGCAATCTCACTCTTTTTTTCTTTCTTAATAAGTTTTCTTTTTTATTTCTGACAAAAAAAAAATCGATTCTCAAGTCTCCTTCCACTAAAGTATTCATGTAGTTTAGAGTTTCCCCAACCCTTGATGAACTGCCAAGAGTTTTGCTAGAGTTGAATCTCCTTGTCCAAGGTCCTGAGTAAATCACCAAGATGTCCCCAAGATGATACCTGAACACACCACTAATACCTATTTTTTCTGTATTACCGCTACTGCAGATATCTTTTGAAGTACATGATTATACATAGTTTTTCTTATTAAATGTGCATCATCTTAATTATCAAAAAAAAAAAGTGCATCTTCTTGCATCTTTGGGGTTCTACCATGATATCAGAAGTCTAATACAATTCTCTACACCACTTATCAAAAAATAAATAAAATAACAACAGTAAGAAAAAGGTTAGAACTTTATTTATCCACCACAGCATGCATGTGTTGTAAGGAGATCTTAATATTATCCCTTTGATGATGATGATGATGATGATGATGATGATGATGATGATAATAATAATAATAATAATAATAATAGTCACTCTGATCACTATGATAAGTTAATTCTAAAATTGTATGTCCATAAATAACAAAATACAAGCACCACTAAATGAAAACAAAATTGCTTACACTTCTCGGATGGAATTGAAATAAATTGAGTTGTCATTTAAGATGAGGGATAAGAAGGACATAAGAGCATAAACCTGTCAACAACAAAAAAACAAAAGAATACAAAAAAAAAATTAAACTTAACGGAACCAAAAAAAATATTGTATAAAGCACACTATACTAACTCATGTAGCTTCTTTATCATTATAATGTGAAGGAATTTTTAAATTATATATATATATATATACCCAATGTTGGTCCCGGTTATCATGGTCTTTCAGATGGTAGACTGGATAAAGACCTAATCTTTGGCATTGTCCTAAAAGGTCGTTAGTTGTTTAAAAAGTCATATTCGAGAGGTTTTAGAATTTTAAAAACATGAAGATGAAATGACATCATTTTTCTTTCAGTTATTTTTTTAAGTTACCCATCCAACAAGACCAAAGTTTTGTAATTCGACATCTTTGGAGTGAGTTATGGCCATTTTACTGATAACATGTTAGTTTGTGATAGGATTTGAGTCTTTCTATTTTCTTAGTTAGCCTAGGAGTTGTTTTGGGTTTATTTAGTAGTAATACAATTGGAAGAGTATTATAATAGCTATTTTATGAGTTAGGGTCCTTATTTGAGTTCCTCTATCGCTTAAATATGGACTTACCTTAGTTTTTGTTAGAATAAATATGATAAAGTGTAGAAACTGATTGGTAATTATTTTGGCAGTGAAGGACCTCTTTAATTTCTAGTTTTTACAAGTTATAAATAAATGTGCTCTATGATAGGAGAATATCAACATTTTCTCTCTTTTTCCTTCTCTCTCTTTTAAGCTTTATCAAAGCAAGTATTATAATCAGATATGGACCTCTTCTTTCTTACTCCTACAATTTAAACCTAGAAGATTTGCTGTGCATTATACACCACATCTATGCTTATCAACTTATATGAAAGATACTATTCTATTTTTCTTCCTTTCACATGATAGTGCGATGAAGATCTAAATTGGAGTAACCTCTATTTGTGCAGATAAAGAGGGTATGACTGCTGTATGGTAAACTAATGGTGATTGGGACTGTTTGAATAGTTTTTTATGATCAGATATGGTATATGATCCTAACAGAACAGAATGGTGAAACAGGACACATATAGCCAACCCCATAAAGATGGGACAAGGCTTAGAGGAGGAGGATAATATGGTGTATGATCCACCCTAGGTATCTCTCCCTATCATATTGAACCCTGTGTTTGGTTTCTTTTGAAGAACCTAGCACTTTAATTCACCCTGGAGTTGTTTTCCTTCCCCCTAAAGAGATGCAATTCCTTCCCCCAAGAAGAAACAGACCTACAGTTGCTTCCTAGAGGTAGGCCAAAGTAGTTCATTGGCCAATATGACACCATAGTCCCAAGGATACCAGAATACTTCCCAATAACTTCAAACCTGCCAGACTACTTTCATCAAGATCTATTCTCAAATTAGATAGTCTCTCAAAGCATCTAATCAATGATAACAGGTTTAACACTCCTTCCTCGCTCCTGTCTTGGCCAAAATGATGATATCATCTGTAAATTGCAGATGAGACACCAATCCACTCTCCAAGACCACTCTAAAACCTCTAATTAAGGTGAAGAACAAAGGAATAATGGATCTCCCTGACAAAGACGTCACTTAGAAGGAAAAAGCATTGATCCACTCACTAATGCAATAATCAGTAGTTATCAAGCATTCCCTAATCCAGGTCTTCCATTTGTACCCAAAACCAACTTCTTAAGAATCCATTTCAAGAATGACAAATCATCATTATCACCACCACCACCAATCAATATTATTATATGTTCCCTCCAAAATCTGGTTTGCACACAAAGCCTTTATTCCTAGATCTTAGTATCTCTTCAACACATTCATTGGATATTAAAATCTGATTTGTTATTTGTCTCTCCTGAATGAGAGCTTCTTGGTAATGGGAAATAAGAGCGGTTATAAATCCCTCTCAATCTTACTGATAAGAACTTTAATATTACTTTATAGAAGCTCCTTATCAAAATGATTGGTCTGAAATCCTTTGTGTGTATTGCTTCCATAGTGTTTACATTAAAGCTAAAAATTTTGCATTCAGCCCCACATTGAGAATGCCTTTAAATGAAATTCCACAAAGGCTACAAGTAGATCCCTTTTGATAATCACCCAAACAGTCCTTATAGAAACCCATTGTAAATCCATTTGATCCTAGAGTTTTATCTTTATCCACCTCAAAAGTGACTTTCTGAATCCCCCCCCCCCTCAAAAAGCCTTTTTAGATTGAATGCTACATAACACTGTCAAGGTCTTCAATTTGTATCAGAACCGATGTTTTCCTATAAGACATGGCCAGAACCTTAAGCTTCTCTCCTTTTCTGTTAAGAAAAGGATTCATTAAACAAGAATCATAAGCTTTTCTTTAAACAACTTTGGTTTCTTCCAAAATCTAAAACCCATCCAATCAACATTAACTTATTCAAAATTGGTTTTTTGGTATGAAAAGAGGGACATACGATGTAACCAAGCCTAGATTAATACAGTAAGACCACAAATATAAAATTAATGAAAAGATAATTCTGTACAATCCCTCTCTTTACAGGAAAGAGTGATTTATACAGCAAACCATGCTCCCCATTGTCTCTATTTGAACATACCAGTTATATTTCCTGTTAAGGGATTGGTTGCAAGCTTCAAGGTTTTCAGGTACCAGAAAAAACACTTGGAAGGAATTCCAGTCGTACTGCAACAAGTCAACAACATGCATAATCCCATCCACTACAACATCAATTGTGCCTTTCCATTGTACCTCCAGAAGCATCAGTTCACAGTTCACTCAGAATTTCAGATAAAACCCAAACATAAATCACAAATAGTTGGTATTGTCATCAACCCCAAAAGATGCATAAGTAGCACTGTAGCACAAAAATTCTGACCCAACATTTCTATCTCTCATTTGTTCTCCATGACGTAACACACTCCTTATACCATATGCCTACAAAGGGTTCAGGGGATACGTCTTTCAATAGGGTTCAGGGGATACGTCTTTCAATAGGCTGAAGGGTGTGTTAGAGATAAGAAAGACAGTTGAGGACTTGAGGGGATGTCTGAATCAAGGGATATAAAGACGGGAGACTTCGAGCCGGGGACCACTACAATGGAAGATCGTTTCTGCTACAGACTTCAGCTTTACACCAGAAAACCAGACTTGGCCAAGTTAGACTCCTCAGCTCCAGGAAACTCCAGATGCTCTTTTTATTGGATATGTGATATTCTGATTCAATATGTACTGAACAAAGCATACATCATGACAGTTAGTTAAGTTTCACCCAAGACAATCATTTCGTTGTCAGTCTCTGAAGCTGGAGAAACAATCATGGCTGGAGGAAAATAATATAGTAGGGTTCACCTGCTTGGGAAAGAAATGTTGTAACAGCTACATGATAAAAAGGATCAACAAAAACACCACCATAACCAACAAGAAACACTTAACAATATAAAAAAATGACACGTAATCAAAATTTCAAGCAAGTATAACATATAACGAAATATGCTAATAATTAGGGCTCAAGAAGAGTAAGACCACTTACAGGAACCATGAAGATGATACGAACAATGAACCGCTGATAAGTGGGTTCGGTATAATTCCTTAGGTGCCTGTAAATATGAAACACTGCTAAAGCGATAGCTCCAATCACACAAGGGAAAGCGATAATGACGAAGTAAATCGGTGCCATTTGCTCGCCGGAAACCAGTCAATTCACTTTAGCCCCTCTTTCTCTGAAAAAAATCTAAGAGGGAAGCGTGGGAGGCGAGTCACTCACCACGGCGCCCGCACGGACCCCCTCGCCTCTAACCGTTCGCGCATGTGGACTCTATATTTTTAAAAGACTAAAATAACCCTACTTTATTGCGAACTTGCTGTGGGCGTTCTTGTTTCTTATAGCACGTTATATTTAAGGGAAAATTCCCAAAGTATCCTGTAATTTGTGCTTAGTTGGCCCTCAAACTTTAAAATGTGATAATTTAATACTCAAATTTTTCAAATGTGACAATCTAATACCTGTCATTAAGTATCATTTGAAAAAGACACAAATGTCCTTCAAGTGTCATTTAATTTTCTTTATCAATCATCTAAACATTAGCAAAAAATTAACAGTCTCAAATTCTTGCATCTTCCATTCAAGAAAGTTGGGATCACATTTGAGTGGGTATTCTAGTGACCCTGACTTTCTTAAATAGAAGAGGCAAAGATTTGGGACTGTTAATTTTTTGTCAATGTTTGGATGGCTGATAAAGAAAATTAGATGACAGTTGAAGGGTATTTGCATTTTTTTCAAATGTCACTTAATGGCTAGTTAACAATTAGTTAACGACAGGTACTAGATTGTCACGTTTTGAAAGTTTGAGTATTGAATTGTTGCACTTTAAATTCTGGGGACCAAAGTGGCACTAGGCCCAAAGTACAAGGTACTAATCGGGAATTTTCCCTATATTTAATGACTAGTGGAACCTGTTGATGCACGGGATTTGTTAAGTAAAAGTGAAACATTTTATGATAAATATTATACGGAATGAATGCAGTGTTTTTTCAAATGCCACTTAACGACTAGTTAACAGTTAGTTAACGACAGGTACTAGATTGTCACGTTTTGAAAGTTTGAGTATTGAATTGTTGCATTTTAAATTTCGGGGACCAAAGTGGCACTAGGCCCAAAGTACAAGGTACTAATCGGGAATTGTCCCTATATTTAATGACTAGTGGAACCCGTTGATGCATGGGATTTGTTAAGTAAAAGTGAAACATTTTATGATAAATATTATAAGGAATGAATGCAGTGTTTTTTAAAATAATTAATTTTTATTTTAGTAATTTGTTACAAAAATTAGTAATTTAGTAATTTAGATTAATTATGTTAATAATTTTTAACAAAAAAATAAATTATTACTAATTACTTAATAAAATAATTATTTTTTTCATAGTATCCATTAGTGTTTTGTTTTATTTATTTTACTTTATTGATGATTAAATGTTATAACTTTTTGTAAGTGTTACTTAAATATTTAAAATAATTAAATATAGTAAATATATAAAGTTAGGTTGTAGTCATAATTAAATTAATTAATCTAAGCCCGAGCTCAAGGTTTAAGACTTCAAGTGGGGCTTTAATTGATCCTTGACTTGACCCAACCCCCTAAGTTGCACCCCTAATAGCAATGTGACATTTTTATTTAGACTAAACCAATGCATGCATTACTTTTGTGGTTTTAACTATTTTTAGGGAAAAATTATTAATATTGAACCCAAAGGAGCCATGGGGAATGGGCTATCCCCATTGTGTAGCCTAATGAAACAAAAACATAAAAGATCCCCAACCAAATTTTGATAGTGTATGTCAATTTTATAGGCTGTCTAGCCTAGGGCCAGCCCACACCCCAAGCGTAACAATATTTGTTTAGGCTTGGGACAGGGATGGGTTTGCCCGTGTTAATTATAAAAATATGATTTTTTATAAATTAAATTTTTATTTAATTTTAGTTTATAATATATATAATTCTATCTATATATTAATATAAAATTTGTTATCTAAATATATATGTATATAGCTTCTAGGTTAAGCTTAGGGGTTAGCTTGGGCCATGCATGCTAAGGCTATCAATGAACTCTGAAAATATAATAGCCAATTTGACTCCAAATTCGGTTGTCTTGGATTTGAATGTAAGAACTAGCACCCAATTAATATTCAGATTATATGCAAATTTAACCCCAACCAATCCAACTAAAATCGGATCCAATAAAAAATTATATATATAAATTTATTATACATGGATATCCAATGTATAATTTATATATATATATATATGTGTGTGTGTGTGTGTGTGTGTGTGCGCGCGCGTGCGTGTATGTGTGTGTGGTATAATTATATATACATATATATAAATTTATTATGCATGGATACTTTAAAAAATAATTGGTTTTTTTAAACCTTTTTTTATTTGTTTGGTCATTTTAAACACAATAAGATGGTTGCAGATTAATGTTAGACAGTTTTGTATGCCCTTAACTTCAATCAGAATGATGTACTTTATGAGTTTATTGTAAATGAATAAAGATACATATTTGATTCATGTTCCCTTGGTATGT